AAACTAAATCTTTGTTTTGACCCACTTTCACTTGTCAGATTTTGATAAAATTTAGCTTTTTGGAAAGCCTATGACATAAGGAAACGGATTGCACAAGTTTTGCGAAAAAAAATTGCAAATTTTTTGCAAACAACCGGTCAAAGGAAATTTGCACATTTTTAGTTTTCTTGATTAAAAATCAGGTTATTTAAAATTTTGCAAATTCTAAAAGTAGAGCACAAGAGCTTTCTAATGATGTATCATTTGTCATATTTGGACATAAAACATGGGATTTAGAGGGGGGGGGGGGGGGGTCAAATTGACCCCCCCCCCAGCATATCCTGGTTTTCAAGTACCCTATATTTTGACTATTACATGAAGTTTGTGGTCAAACCCGACCCACCTGCTGTGAGACTTACATCTCAGTATTTAAGGGGATGATAAACGAGTACATTTGAATCTTTCTAAAATGGGATGTACTGTCCCTTTTTGTTTTCTTTAGTCTGTATATGTAACGACAGCTTGCTTTAGCTGCCTGAAAGTCGGCCCGGTGCTTGAAATGAACTGGAGTTTACAATAAGTCCAGTAGATGATCTCCTCCTTTCCATTTATAATTACCTGCCACGCCCCCAGCTGCGGCAGTGGAGACAGCAATTGCTCCGCCCATCGAATGTCCAACTAGAACCAGGTTCTAAATAATAATAATAACAATGAAAATGACAATGACAATGACAATGACAATGACAATGACAAAATAATGATGGTTATATGTTGATATTTTAGTCATTTCTGAACAATTAGAAATAAGAGCGATTTAACCAACTCTGATTTTGAGTGAGGTTTAACGGAGCCAAGAACTGGTGGACTAATTTTACTTCAAAATTACAATTTAGAGGAATGGAGATAAACCTCAAAAATCCCAAGAAATATTACATTTATCTTCCTTATTTCCTTTCATGTGAGCAATATATTTCACAGCCTTTTGATTACCGACCAACGATTCTCTCTCAACAACGGGATATTAAGTTGATTAACTGTCCCTTGGGATAATTAATAAAGTAGCATCCAGCTCTCCGAAGTTTCCGTGAAAAAAATCGTGCTTTTGATCTTGAAAGAACATTGTGTACAATTAAAATCAAATTTTTATTACTCTTTGACCAATATTACCGACCTATGATTTAGTTACTTTACGTCCCTTGGGACAATTAAGTGAATTAACCAACTGCTTTGCAAAGTAACCGCGAACAATTTTGCACATTTTCATCTCAAGAGACGATAGAATTGTGTACAACTACTTTTTGGTAAATGAAAATTTTCATTTTTTGGTGTAATTTTTCGGTATATTGAAATTTTACTTAACTACCTCACTAGTCTCCTGGAGTTTGTAATAGCTCTTGTAATAATAGAGATAAATGGTGCTAACTTTGCACCTATATTCTTTTAATCCATAAGGGGCATAAAAAAATTTCAAATTTTTTTTTTCTTGATCAGGGGCGTAGAAAGGGGGGTATTTGGCCCAAAACAGGTATTTATATATATAAATATTTTTTTGCCGATGTATCATTATTGTTTTCAAGATTTTAGGTTCTTATGGATTAAAAGAATATAGGTGCAAAGTTAGCACCATTTATCTCTATTATTACAAGAGTTATTACAAACTCCAGGAGACTAGTGAGGTCCTTTGGTCTTGGGAGCCTTTGATAGAGTAAAATTCCCTTAACTTCCATGTCGAGTAGTTTTAAATAATTGTTACCTAACTACTGATTCCCAAGACCAATTTTGCCTGCATAACATTCCTTGGATGTTTTATAGGTAAAATTGATCTTGGGAACCCTGGTTAAAGTAAAATTAAATTCCCTGCTGAGAAGTTTTAAATAATAATTACCTTCTGTTCCCCATTTTCTAGAAGTTTATCAGCCACTGATCTAACGTCCTGGGTTAGACAATCTCTGCTCATATCACCATCTTTAGTTTCTGTCTCACCATGACCCCTTTAACACACAGAAGTTAGGCAAAACGTAAGGTTTTTTTCTCGCTAAATTGGTAAAAAAAACTATATTTTATTGCAGAAAATAAATAAATTTTTAGGTAAGGTAAGAAATATCAAAAAGGGTGTTAAATTTATCTTATATTCATATTTTTTCATATTTTCCCCAAGTCTTTAAAAATAATTCCAAATAAAATATGCACCTCTGGCATTCTATGTTCAAAAAGAAACTTCGTTTTCTTAATAGCTAAAGATTTAAAGTACGAGAATCAAAAAAACCCGTTTTGAAGAATATAAGTAATTTAAGAACCATTCGACACACTTAACATAAAAATACATTTTAAATTATGTAAAAGTTAAATAGTCCCAACCTGAGATCTATTGCAGCAATCTTACATCCTGCCATAGAACTCAATTGTTCAGCAGCTTTAAAATACAAGATTAAACCCAGAATTCTTTTAAATTTCCAGGACAGGGGTGTATTTCAATATAATTTTGCAGATGTATCGTGTATATTGTTTCCCCCCCCCCCCTTAATCTAAATGGACAAGAAAAAATATTTATACGAATACCTTTTATGCCCCTATTAAGAGGAAAAAATTGAGCATTTTTCCTGTTCCTTATTGATTGAAAGAATACATGTGCAAAGTAAGTACCATATTAAAAAAAAAATAAAAGACGGCATTTAAAAACTCTTATTCAAATGTAGTATCCCGTCTGCAAATCATGTATGGTAAGGCGGGTCGCGTCGTTTTTATCTCCCTTCTATTCCATGCTCCTTGCTCTTTAACCAACCACGGGTAAGATCAATGGTTCTGGGTTTAATAATATTCCTAGACTCCAGGTTAGTCCTGAGTATCCACCTCCATGAAGGAGTAACACTAGGGTGTCTCCACTCCCTCGGGAGAATACTGTATATACTCCTCGATCTGTAAACATTATTAAAGTAAAATTCCATTTAAAGATGTGCCATATATAATTTACGGTGTTAGGTATATTTCCAAGGGGTAACCTCCCAAAGGTTAGGTTAGGTCTTCTGAGGACCCGCAGGCTGCAATAGGAGACGAGCGCTACGGCTAGGATGGATAGCGGGCCGAGCGCTGTGACAAGAACAGGCTAGGGCGCCGAACTCTGCGGTTAGAACAGACTTAGGAAGTTGCCACTTGGTTAAATACCCTTATACAGGCAGTACTTAACATTTAATTCACAACGGTAAACCTTTTGCTGGGATAAGTTTGATTATATCTTAACTAACAAATCTCTTATTAGGACTTTTCTTGTCCAGCCATGAATCTTAACAGTTGATATTGAAAAAAAGCATAAACATGGCCTAGATTTGTCCTGATAAACACCTATATTTACAATATTGTTCATCAGATAAAAATGTGTTAAATTAATAGAAATATTCATATCAAATATGATTTACAAAAACAATGTTTTCCTTATTACCTGTTTCAACGCGTTCCTTATCATCCCAATATTTCCTCCAGCTAACCGGACTGTAGGATCGCCGCCGGAAGCTGCCTGGACGCGACCGGCGGGATTGTGGGGCCGGCGGCATGCCACGAGGTGGCGGCATTCCACCGGCCAACATTGATCGTTGCAGGTTGGACATTTGTACTCTGTAACAGGTACAAGGTAGAGGATAATACAGGTTAATTAATGGGTCTTCATTATTAAATACAATTCATAATTAATATATAATATTGGTCGAGTTTGTACTCTTTAAAACTGTCCTATTAAAAATCAAAAGTATAAACATCTCTGAACATTTGTTACGCATTTTACTAAGAATCTTACAGAGAATCCTTAAAAATGGGATTGGACAATATTAGCCGCCCCTGATTTAGACTATTTCATGATTCTACCACGTGTTAGAACACACCTAATTGTTCAAAAAAGAATCTTAGATTTAAGATTGCATATCTTCTATGACTTCTCATTTAACTCTTGGTTAACTATATCCACTTATTTATTATTCTCTTTAATACTTGTCAGCGGCATTCTCTCAATTTTGGCTGGTTTTAAACTCTTCCCGTCTTGCACATAGCAGCTCCCGTTAATAAATCTAAACAAAGAACAGTTAACTACAAGCCAAGGTGTCCTAAAAGTTTGTCTGAAGGCACTGTCTTATTTAGATCTTGGATATTTCATTACAATTTCTGATAACATTGCAAGTTCACATTCTTTTTAAGTTTATTCCATGTGTGTATATGCTTACTTAGAGATGATATCTTTTCCCTGTCTTTTACCCTGTTTAAAAGTAAGTTGATTTTTCTGTGTAGAGATGTTTGAGCTGAGGCCGAATTCAGAAGTTGAGTCACGTTTCAAGCTAGAGACGCGGCTCAAACATGGTTGGTTCCACATGAAATTGAATTCAGTGTTTAGAGATTTGAGCCGGCAATCAATTGCAACCGGTTTTCGGCTGTTCAGCGACGCATTTAAGTTCTTAAAATTCGGCCTCAGGTCCTGCTGATGCAGGTGGAGAAGGTTTACCTGACACTGGGTAAAGATGTTTGAGCTGGTCCTCCTGCTGCTGGAGGAGGACTTCTAGGAACAGGAACCTGTTCAATCTCTATACCTTCTAGCTCATCATCATCCTCATCTATCAAGGTCAACATCTAGCATAAAAATAAAATAAAACAATTCTTTTTAATATTGATGACATATTTGTACATTAAAGGGCCTTACAAACACTTTGCATCCTTTCATTTGGTAATTATTTCAGTTGTAACTTGTAGTTCTTCAATGCCACCATTTTTCTTCGTATTTTCATGACATTTTTATCAGATTCAAATAAATTTAAAATCTGAAGTTAAATTATTCGTTTGTTAAGATCAAAATTACAAATAACTGTTTAGTGTTAAATGCAGTGCATTTTTAGCCTCCTGAATTCGGATCATCAAAGGGGCATTTCAAGGGGCAAAAGATCATACAAAACTTGTTATAAAACATCAGCACTCAAAACACAGATCTTAACTGTTAACTAATAAGAGATCATAAAAAAACTTATTAATATCGAATGGTTTATCAAGTTTTTGCCTAAAAATAAACTAAAATAAGAAGATTTTTTCTTTTGAAAAGTCTTCATTTGTGAAAGAAATCAGTAAATCTTGAAGAAATATTCATGGCATGGATTTGTGGTTTCTCTATAAAAGTGACTTGCGCATTTCTAGTGCAGTAACATAAAAAGGAGTTAGAACTGCTAATTGAATAAAAAAGAAATAATACATTTTTTTCTCTCAAGATTACAAATTCCTAGAAGTTAATTAATAAAACTCCTAGAAATCCTTTAATCCACGCTTTCTTGATTAAAAAGAAGAAAAAATCTGTTCAACTTGTAAAATAAGTATTTATTAATGGAAGAAACCCTCATTTTCCCGTAAACACCTTATAAACTAATAACAAAATAAAAATTGACAGTCTACCATCATTTCCTAGAAATCAACAAATGATGTTTTTTAATAAAAAGTTTTCCAAACAAAAATATATTCAAATCAAAACCCATCATTCCGTAGAAACCGAGGCCCAGATTATCATTGCAAATAACAGCCAAATGACGTTTAAATATCCTAAGATGTTTAATTTCCTTCAATCTTATAGTTTTATAAATAATTAAAATATCTAAATACCTCCGGGCTCGGCAGCATAGAGCTAGGAGGCTGAACGCCTGGAACAAGCATAAGAAATTCGTCTAGCAAATGCTGATTACTTCTGAACAATCGGCCAGCTACATTCTTTAATCTTTCACTCGTCAGGGTCGAGTCCTTAGATAAGGACTCCAGCTCCTTTAACACCTTAAAGGAAGAGTGTATGAATTATTACGGAAGTTGTTTAAAGAGACTGTAGACGTGAAATGATGAGTTTGGTTCGTGAGACTTTATCACAAGGCGAGGTTTTTCTAGTAACGAAGTTTTCAAAATATTGAATTTATAAACCAAGCTAAGAACATTTCTGTAGTTTTACTAAGTTCCCCAATACAAATTTTAGTTAAATCTGTCAAGGGGTTCATGATTTATGAGAGGATATAAAACAAACAGACAAACAGAGATTTCTACTTGATCACAAAGAATGTTTTCCGAACATTTTCAAGATTTGTATTCATTATCATATCTTTAACCCTTCAGAAACCTCTGCTGCATATTTAAAAAAAATTTAGCCACCTTTAATACATTGAAAAACATATAACACAAAAACACCTTCTCAAAACTGTTGTTAGAAGAGAGCTGTTTATTGTTTTATTCTTCATTTATTCATTAATTTATTAATTCATCCTTTCATTCATCCTATCATTCATTCATTCATTCATTCATTCATTCATTCATTCATTCATCCTTCCTTTCATCCCTTCATCCTTTCATTCATTCATTCATTCATTCATTCATTATTTATTAATTAATTAATTAATTAAAAAATAATACATAATTTCAAGCGACATTAAATTCAAAGCGTTACATGTCCGATTCGCAAGGTACAATTTAACTCCCTTTATCGAATTTACAATGAGGAAGATATATTTTTTCTATCTTGAAAATAATTACTTGCTCTTAGTTTCCTTCCTTTTCTGAGCAACATAAACCCGCAACTTTAATGTTTCAGATAGAAGATCAGGGTACTCTACTAAATATAACTTGCCAATCTTTAATCGAAAGTCAATTAATTATTGTCGAGGACCCTTTAAGAACATTTATCATATGGCTTTGAGTCATTTTAATGGAGAAATCAATATATTTCGTACAAATGAAAAAACAATTTTATTCATTTGTTATTGTCTAAAATCTTATTTTTTTTTAATCAAGAGAAAAATCTAGAATACATACTCTAGGATCCAAGAACTTCAAAACAATTGTTTTCTGGAAACAGCCTTGTTTACTTTGGTATGATTTGTTTGTCACTAACATTGTCATTGTCATTATTGTCATTGTCATTGTCATCATCATCATTATTTTTTTATTTAATAGTTCAAAGTATTTAGTTTGTGAACTAGATATTTCTCGAAAAACATTGTTGACGTACCTTTGTATGATATGCTGGTTGTTGTCTGTAAACTATACTGAGCTTGAGCAGAAACCTTTTCAGGTTGTTTCTATCCGTATAGGCAGAGAATACAGAGGAACCCAGGGATACAGCATCCTCAGGACTTAGTAGGTCAAGGAGAAGTACCTAGAATACAGGAGTAGGTCTAGATATAGTTAATTCAGGACTAAGTAGGTCTTGGAGTATGATACAAGAGTAAGACTAGATAAAGTAAATTCAGGACTTAGTAGGTCTTAGTAAGACATAGCATAAAGGAGTAGAACTAGATATAGTATATTCAGGACTTAGTAGTTCTAGGAGTATGAAATAGAATACAAGTAGGACAAGATATAGTATATTCAGGACTTAGTGGTCTAAGAGTAGGACATAGAATACAAGAATAGGACTAGATATAGTAAATTCAGGACTTAGTAGGTCAAGGAGTAGGACATAGAATACAAGAGCAGGACTAGATATAGTATATTCAGAACTTAGTAGGTCTAGAAGTAAGACATAGAATACATGAGTAGGACTTGATAGAGTATATTCAGGACTTAGTAGGTCTAGGAGTAGGACTAGATATAGTATATTCAGGACTTTGTAGGTCTAGTAGAAGGACAAGGAATACAGGAGTTGGACTAGATATAGTTTATTCAGGACTTAGTAGGTCTAGTAGAAGGACAAGGAATACAGGAGTTGGACTAGATATAGTATACTCAGGACTAAGTAGGTCAAGGAGTAGGACTAGATATAGTATATTCAGGACTTTGTAGGTCTTGTAGAAGGACAAGGAATGCAGGAGTTGGACTAGATATAGTATACTCAGGACTTAGTAGATCAAGGAGTAGGACCTATAATACAGAGTAGGACTAGATATAGTATTTTCAAGACTTAGTAGGTCAAAGAGTGGGACATAGAATCAGTAAGTCTAGTAGTATGAAATGATTTTTGACTATATCAGATAAAGGATTAACACTTCCAAAAAGTATTGGGAAATTAATATTCTAGGATTTAATTTTCCCAATCTTGAAAATCAAAATTTCTTTAACTTTTTAGAATCCTTTTATTAAAAGACTAATTTAATTATCACATTAAAGTAATATTTCCCCAAAAAGCTATGATTCAATTGATATTTTTGGGAGATATTCATGATGATAACATATATTACTTAATGTGATATTGTACTAATGTTGAACCTGAACATCAGCATGTCCTTCCAGAAGATCATGAAGCTTGGTGAAGGTCTCCTTGGCACCTGCCTCATCTGCTCTATTGATAATCTCCTCATATCTAAATAATTTTAATAATCATTTTAATTATTATATTTGAAAAAATACCAACCATCCTAGCGTATTCATAATCATAGGCATCAAGGTCTGCAATGACCATATGGGACAAGACCTATCCATGGCCGCTCAACATACTAGTTTCACAATGGTACCCTACAAATCGTTGTCTTATCAAGTATGAATTAAAAATCAATGTTGATAATTTAAAAAAAAAGGTTATTTTTAACCGTGGTTTCTCTACAAAAGTGATTTTGCACATATCTACTGCAGGCAAACATTTAGGAATAATCAGAATTGAACACTTTTTCACCTAAAAACACGACAATATCTTTCACATTGTTTATAAGGTAAAGGTTTCATGGGTAACGTTGTGAATCAGGTCTCAGCATTTTTATGCTTGCAGTTCCTTTAAATCTCATTTGTAGTAGATCAATAAATGATCGCCTGGTCCCAAATGGGCAATTAAAATACACGTTCAGTCCAATTAACAGTTAGAAATTCTGCTTATTTGTTGAGCAAAAATTACATTTTCTGAATTAATTAAGAACAATAATAAAAATGTAAAAAATTCTTTACATCGAAAACATTTAAAGTCCGGTTAATGAAAGCAAAAGTTGAATTAGTGATATCCTAAAGCATTAACAATACAAAAATTCGGACCTCTGGCTGGATTGAGATCCACAAAAAGGGTGCCCAGTTGTGTTCAAACTGTTATTATTTAGTTAACTAACAAATAGTATTGAGGCCGTTTCACTTCTCTCTTTCTAACTTCTACACTACAGTCTCCAAAATTACTCGAGGAGATTAAATGGACAAAAACTCTCCAAAGACTATCTAAACCAAAGAAAATGGTTGGACTTTGGACCGCCAACCACCCCATCCTTTTTCATCCCCAACGAAGTAAAAGCGTAATGGTAGGGTTGGGGAAATGTTTAACAAAATCTATTTTATTGGTATATTCTTATATACGATAAAAAGTTGGATCATAAGTCAGAAATTGTGTTTTTACATCTTGGGATCAATCATTGGTCTCCATCTTAAGCAGTTCTACGGATTAATTTAATTCCTCATCGATATACCAATATTGTCACCCATTCAGTAATAACTTTAATTGAGGGATTTAACATTGATCCTCCTGTTTGAAAGTGTCCACATTGGATATCAAGTCCAAGCATTGATTAATAACAATATCTACACAAAAAGTTTCAATCTCCGGAAAAATGAAAGTAAAACTTGAAAGAATCATATAAAAAAGAAACTAAATGAAGTAAAAACTTTGGGTTTAAAAGTTTCGCGAACAATTTAACTCAATTTAATTAAGTTCAAGAATCTAGCAACATTGACAACATCAGTTTTTCCTTTAAAGGGACAGACCGGCAATGTAAGGAAGTTAAACTGAGTATGCAGCGTTGAGGACCAATTCTTAAGGATTCATTTGAGATATTTAAAACTTTTCCACGATATATAACAACTGAGTTTGAGTGCATAGTCGACGTTTAAAATCATGAATTTTTCAGAATCCTTTTTTAATTATACAGTAAACTAATTAGATGGTTAGGAACATATTTCCCAAAAGAAATTTGTCAATAAATCAATGCTAGAATCAACTATTCCGTTTTCATCATTATATTGAATTTCTCATTTTCTATGAATATTTCGCAGATATCTACAAATTCTTCAAATGTCGTCTTTTAAATAATATTTCCAGAAAATCTGCAGAAAATCTTTGTGAATAATGAGAGACTAGAATAATGAGAACATAGAAACTAGTACTTAAACAAGAATACTTATTTTCAATGATAAGATTAATTTTTATTTTTTCAACCTGTTCCTGAACATCTAATTAGTTTACTGTAGAATTTTGTTTACATTTTTTGTCGTCGTTATTTAATAATTTAAAAAGAACATTTCTGAAAACGTATCCAACCAAAAGTACAATTTTGAACGTAGACTTTGCACTCAAACTCAGGATTTACAAATCTTTAATAAGGTTTATATGTCTCAAATGAATCTTTAAGAATTTGTCCATGAACAATGCATTCTCAGTTCAACTACCTTACATAGCCGGTCTATCCCTTTAACTAAACAAACTATGTGTAATTTCAAGGGAACCTCCATGCAAAGATGGCAATGCCCGATTCACAACGGAACCATTAAAAGCTTTGTCTGATCAAGTATGAATTATATTTCAATATTTATAATTGTGAACACTTATTATTCTCAAATGTGGTTTCTCTACTGCAGAAAATAAACAGGAATTAAACATAGAAAAATGGTTTCAAGGGTGGATAGTTGTAAATCAGGCACTGCCATCTTTCCATGAAGTCCCATTAATGTAATAATCATGAGAAGACGAGATGTTTTTAATTTAAAAAAAATGTATTTAACTGATAAAATGCAAGTTTTAAAAATGCGTTAAAGATAATAATTAATTTCAGCTCACAGCAGGTAACAAGTAACAACTTAAGAAAAATCTTTCTTTTTAACCATTTTGGACTTTCCTGAACTTTTTTCAAACAATTAAATTAAACACTGGCACAACCGCACATGTACATTGTACATTGTACAAAAAAAAATTCTTTTCAAATTATTGTTGTATTATTTCTTGCATTACTCATTAAAAACATGGAAATAATTTAAGTAAAACTTTTAATTAACCCTTATGATTTATAAAAGGCAGCTATAACGAAGTTAGGTTTTTAATGTAAATAGGTATTTCTTCTAAACTGGCATTTTTAATCACTTATTAGTGTCTTGAAATGATCTGGACTCAGAAGTTGTTGTACAAATGGTTGGTAATAATATAAAAATGTTACATAATGGTCAATTTATTAATGCTGCGTAGAAATAAGAGACGAGTTTGAAGTTAAAATCTAAACGCATGAATATATAATATAAAAATGTTATATAACGGTTAATTTATTAATGCTGCGTAGAAATAAGAGACGAGTTTGGAGTAAAAACTAAACTCATGAATGTCTTACAAAATTTTGAGCCTTTCTTTGCTCCTGATCTCTTTTAAATCAGAAAACACCCCTGAAAAACAATTTTGGCAGATAAAAATGTTCACAATATCAATTATTGAATTGTAACATATTTGAGTTTAAAACGGTTTAAAAAGTATGTTTATAACTGAATTACTGCTTTCATTGGCTCATTATTACTCTTTAATCTGATTTATCTTAACAATTAACACCCTTGAAAACCAGTTATGTCGGATAAAAATGTTCCAAATATGTACAATTATTGAATAGTACATATTTGAGTTTAAAAAACGGTTTAAAAAGTATGTTTATAACTGAATTACTGCTTTCATTTGCTCCTTATTACTCTTTATTCCAATTTATCTAAACAATTAACACCCAGGAAAACCAGTTTTAACGGATACAGAATTGTACAACGTACAATTGTAAATGTTAAAAACGGTATAAAAAGTATGTTTGTTATTATTAACTTAGTTGCTGTGTGTATTGTACACATTGTAATGCGTGTATAGAACTACTTCAACCCTGTGACTTATTAAAATCTAGAGAGAGGAGTCACAAGTGTTTAGAATTCCTGTTTATTAAACTTAATGTCTTGCTGTCTTACTAGCTCTTAATAATATATGTAGTACATAAAAATCAGATAACGCAAATATTAATATCGCCTTCGGAAGATTTGTCTAAAATGCATATGTATGAGGAGGGGGGAGGTGATGCTATGGAAACTGACCTACGAGAAAACCGACCTAATATATATCCAAACTAAGTGTCGAGTTGATTTTAAGAAAATATCGAATAGTTTTACTCTCCGTGGATTTTTATGGATTTAAAACGACTCCCCATTATCATTACGTCTTACTCTCATAAAACTCCTCTTACACTCCTTAACCTAGTCCTAACCTAACCTTCTCTAAGGTCAGAAAACACTAGGGTCAGTTCAGAATTACTCATCACTCAAGCGGCATAATGTACATTTATTTAAACATTGTGAAACATTATGATAATCAATCAAGTTTGAATGGAGTAAGGGTAGTGGATATGGTTATTAATTATAGATAAAACATGAGCTAAGTAAAATGGATTTTTTATTGAAGTTTCATGAATTGAAAATTCCGTCTGCAGATGATGATTATCTAGATACGGATCCGAGTGCAATTAAGAGATTAGAAGAGGCACATGAATATATATTCTATATTTTACCTCTGTTCAAGATCTGTAGCCTGTGATATTATTGCCTGAATAGAAGAGAACATCTCCTGAAAACCAAAACAAAACATTGATACAAATTAAAGCAAGAAAAACTCGGATTTTAAATAATTCTTTTTTTCCGAAATAATACGAATGTTTACTAATAATATTTTGTTAATGTTTTGTTTCCTGAGTTTCCGCGATCTCTCTCTGCTCCTTTTCCTCAGGGGTTTCAAGGTTTCCCAGTAAGGAGAGAGTGACTTCCGTTTCCCGTTGCAGTCGGGATTTCCGACGGCCAACCGCCGTTGGTGTATCTAATTCTCCCTCACGCGGAGAGGTTAGGGGAGATGAAAGACAAGGCGGTGTATGAGGACTCCTTCCCAACAGGTTGTCAGATCCCAGGAGTCGTTTAGGAGTCATTGAGTTCAATCCCAGACGCCGAGAGTCCCGGTTCCCGCGTTTTAACGGTGAAGTGTATTTGCGGATTATTCTATCACTGGCCGCTTTTAACGGAGACCTATTAAACGTGTTGGTCAGACTTTTCAACGGGGATTTAAACGGAGATTTGAGTGGAGATCGGAAACTACTTGGTGACTTGAACACGGGCTTGGTTGGGGTCTTTGGCGGGGATCGTTTAGATAGTTTTGAAGGAGGAGGGAGGGTAGGTGTGTCACTCTCACTTAGGCTTACAGGAGTCTCATTGCCGTCCACACAGGGCATTAGACGTATTGGAGAATAGGCATCGCCACCGAATTCGGCCATCGCAAACTGTAAACTGCAATTGCTGGGAACAATTTGAACATGCTTATTCTCTATCCTGAACAAACAATACACATTTAAAACTGTTTTTAACGTATAAGTTTACTAAAATGTTTAATTTATAAGATGCATAAAAAATTATATCTAAATAAAATGAAAAATGTGCATTTCCTTGAGTTTATATTGCTAGACGGACTCTTTGGTAGTTCTCGCTGAGAACTAGGAGATAATTTTGGCAGGATGGATTTAAATCCTTTCTTTGGCAGAATTATTTTCGGTTTGATCGGCGGCAGCTTCCGTCGTTTAAACTGGGGTTTCCGTCGAACCGGTGGTTTTACATCCTCTTCTTCAGACTCATCACTATCTGTACTATCAGGACTGAAACATAAATATATTTATTTAACAATAAATCAATTACTCAAATAAATTAATGACTATACATTGATTTACGTGTATTGGCAGGTACTGATGTTCTGACAACAATATTTATGGCGCGTTAGAATTCACCCTGCATTACTTATCTGTTTATTATCAAAGATCTCACACATTTCTTCATGTTTTGTTTTTAGAAATTCATAATCTTTTTAGTCAATTTTTTTCTGAACTTTTTTACCTTTCATCTGAATTGATCGGAAAATCAGGTTCAACAACCACAATCTCTTTTACCTTCCATCTGAATTGATCGGAAAATCAGGTTCAACAACCACAATCTCTATTTTACCTTTCATCTGAATTGATCGGAAAATCAGGTTCAACAACCACAATCTCTTTTTTACCTTTCATCTGAATTGATCGGAAAATCAGGTTCAACAACCACAATCTCTTTTGGTTCGATTGGTGCAGGTCTAAAAAACAGAAATTAATAAAACAAAAAAAAAACAAGCAAAAAAAACAATTTTATACCTTTTGCTGAGCTTTTGTCTGATAGGTTGAAGAATACGTTCAATAAACTCGACAGGAATATCATCTCTGAAAATAACATTTAAAAATTGTTAAAAAAAAATTTTTTGAGAGGGGCAACAAGATTTACAAAATTATTCGAATTAAAAATTGTCTGAATTTTGAAGAAAAAAAATCATAACTATCGGAATCCTGTGAATAGCTTTTATCTTTCCTTTGTATTTTAAATCATGTTTTTTTTAATGAAAAGTTAGTCTACCTCCTTCCACCTGCTACTAGTTGCTTGAGAGGAACACCTCCCCTAAGAGGATACTCATGAAGATGAACTATAGGGGGCGCAAATCCTAGTATATACAATACATACATAATATATCTTTAACTTCGTATTTTTATTTGGCAAAGAAATCATACTTTGCCAGCAATCTTTGGTAGTAAATCTTTGTTCAATATATATATACAGAGCGTTCTTTATCAAATCAGCTTTAACGCCAAAATACGCCGCATATAATACTCGAAAATACGCACATAATACTCGAAAAAACTAGTATTTTCTGCATGCAAATCTTGATATTTGCAATGTACAATTTTTTAAATGATTCATTCTTTTTAAAATTTTCTGATTAGTCCCGGAAATCGCAATTTAAAGCTATAAAACGATCCTATATGATGTGGTCTGAACACCCTGTATGTATATATGTATATGTATATGTATATGTATATTTGATTTCTTAAAGGGACAGTAAAGGGAAAATGAAAGGGGGTATAGGCTGAAAGCTAATCACTTTAGCTCTCGATCTCGACCCATGAAAGTCATATCTGATGTTCCCGTCTCGAGAAATTGATATAAAACTGTGTCAAATCTATACGAAAATAGCCTATACCCCCTTTCATTTTTCCTTTACTGTCCCTTTAATCAAATTCATTTTTAAATTTCAAATTCACATCGGAGAAGTCGGCAAAAAATATTTCATCATAACGCATTCAGGAAAAGCGAAATAAAATTCGAATAAGATTTTTCGAGTCGAAAGAAAACGGTTAATCTAAATTCGAAACCTTGTAAACAAATAACAAAAAAAATTGGCCAGGATTCATTTCATCTCCTCATTCATTTTTTAATACACAGTTTTGAACAACTTCCCATGTCTAATTCCCTATTTTTAATTTTATGATCAAAAGAAGACGACAAAAATCCCCTATTTTTTTCTCCCATTGTACACTCTTTACAACAGAATACGCTGTATCTGTCACTTCTGATTGAAAATCTTTTAGATAATAAAAAGGAAAAGAACGTTCAAAACTAGACGCGTTACTAATTCTATTAATTTTCTCTTATTTTTCAATAAACGAATACAAACCTGTTTTGAAGAAGTGCGTAATGGGAGAAGTAAGTTCTGAACTATCGAGGTTTTTACGCGTATTCTTTATCCTGACATACGTAATTACGCAAATTAGTACAACAATTAGGCCGTCTATTTAATGAAATTAATTTCCGTTCGTATGCGCAATTTGTACAGAAATTAAACATCAGAAAAATATAAACAATTTGGATGTACAGGGTAACCTTCTCCGAAATTCAAGAACTAAAAAGACATAATTTTTTAATATTTATATTTTAGTGCATTTGGTGGCCAAAAGTTTGGAACTCCGAATGGAATCAGGATAATCATAATTATGCGTGTATGTCCCTGTAGTTAATCTGCTGAGCGGATTTGGCTGGTAAATGTTTGGTGTGTATAGTGATAGATATATCCTGGAAATTCACCTGAAATATTAGAATCGTAAAATATGGTTCATCCGGGGAAAATATTTTTAATAATATGAATAAGTTTTAACTTGCCTTACTCATAATTCCTTTTCCTCCTTTCCCGTAAAGATTTAACCTTTCCAAAGCCTTAATTATAACAAAAATAATAATAATATAATATCTATAAATCTAGTAGTATATTGTTTGTGTGTGTGTGTGTGTTGGGATGTCCGAGCATAACCCCTGGACAGATTCGCTCAAATTTTGATTGAAGAACTTGGTAGTACCACAGGAATTTTATCAGCCTGGTTAAGCAATTCTAAGTTGCGTGGGTTGACTTTTAGAGTTTCCAGGCACTGCTGGGTAATCAATAAATCAAATTGAGGAAAATATTTTTTTAGCAAATTAAAAATTTGAGAGAATATCATTATCAACTAAACATTGTTGGAAGATTAAAATTATTTTCTTCTTATGATTCATAATAAATATTTTTAAATTTTACAAACTATTCGAAAGCAAGGATATGTAAAATATATTCGTAAAAAAATAAACTAAGGGTTACTTAATACAAATGTTAATTTATACACATTTAAACCCATAATGACAACACAATTTTCCTTTTATATTAGGGCTTAAATTTTTCAGAACCCACTTGATAATCCTTGTGGATCATATTTTTGTACCGGCTGACCACTTTATTGTCCTGGTTGGATTAAAAGCATCAATGTTGCCAAATGTTTGACTGATTTGGCTTTTTCATGTATTTCAAACATTTTGATTAGATCTAAGAGTTTAAATACTATATATATAATTTCCTCTCAACCCTTGCATATTGTACATTGTACGTTTTATAATGTATGTTGTATGTTGTATGTTGTACATTGCATACTGCAAACTGCATACTATATACTGTATATAGCATATTATATATATCATATATTATATATTGTATATTGTATATTGTATATTGTATATTGTANACATTGTACATTGTACATTGTACATTGTACATTGTACATTGTACATTGTACATTGTACATTGTACATTGTACATTGTACATTGTACATTGTACATTGTACATTGTACATTGTACATTGTACATTGTACATTGTACATTGTACATTGTACATTGTACATTGTACATTGTACATTGTACATTGTACATTGTACATTGTACATTGTACATTGTACATTGTACATTGTACATTGTACATTGTACATTGTACATTGTACATTGTACATTGTACATTGTACATTGTACATTGTACATTGTACATTGTACATTGTACATTGTACATTGTACATTGTACATTGTATATTGTATATTGTATATAGTATATAGTATATAGTATATTGTATATTGTATATTGTATATATATAATCCTACCTGGGCTACGAGCATATCCTCAGCTTGTGTCCAGATAGGTCGCTTGTTACACCTAACCAGACCACAACCAGGCAATAATCGGGGGTAGTAGATTATATCCCGGGTAGACAAGAAGTCAATAAACTAAACCAAGAAGATTATATCCCGGGTAGACAAGAAGTCAATAAACTAAACCAAGTAGATTATATCCCGGGTAGACAAGAAGTCAATAAATTAAATAGATTATATCCCGGGTAGACAAGAAGTCAATAAACTAATCCCAAGATTATATCCCGGGTAGACAAGAAGTCAATAAACTAATCCCAAGATTATATCCCGGGTAGACAAGAAGTCAATAAACTAAACCAAGATTATATCCGGGTAGACAAGAAGTCAATAAACTAAACCAATATTACATCCCGGGTAGACAAGAAGTCAATAAACTAATCCCAAGATTATATCCCGGGTAGACAAGAAATTATTAAACTAATCCCAAGATTATATCCCGGGTAGACAAGAAGTCAATAAACTAAACCAAGATTATCTCACGGGTAGACAAGAAGTCAATAAACTAAACCAATATTATATCCCGGGTAGACAAGAAGTCAATAAACTAAACCAATATTATATCCCGGGTAGACAAGAAAAAAGTTTTCAAACTTAAAGACAGAGTCTGGAACTTAGCGAGAAAAATTTGATTCAAAATTTTAGCTTTAAAAGACTTTTAATAAATGGCAAAAAAATTATATTTTTTCCCCCACAAAATTCGAAATTTCTAATTAACAACCTACCGTGTGCTTTAAAACATATTTGTATCTCTTCTTAGTGCTATGGCTTCGTCTAATAACATAGATATTAAAAATGAATTCTTTAAAATATTTTTGGCGAAAATAAAACAATCTCTTAAATCAATCAATTCAAAACTAACATCTCAATATAGCGCTTAATAATTTATCATATTAAAAAAAGGGAGTGTTAATGGTTAAAATGACAAATAAAATGAAGATTGATGATAAATGATCAAATTTGATTTGGCTATATTTTTTCACTTTTTGAATATTCGTAAACATCCTCTTTAATGTTAAATATCTCCTATTAGATCAATCAAAAGCCATAATCGAACAATATAAAGCTTAATCATTATTTTTTTTTCAAATCAATCTTTTCTTTTTTCAAATCTGATTTAAACATAGTAAATATCTAGACTCCTCTTGGATTGAATAACAACTGGATCCTCTCCGTCCCTCTCCCAATCATGAATTGTGGAGAGGGATGGGTTCAGATTACTTTGGTTTAACACTACAACACAATACTCTTCTAATCTGAGTAAGGGGTGCGGGGTATAATATCTAGATCCTCCTCCCCCAAGAAAATAAATTTAGAAGTTTAAGTGAGAAAAAACGGCAAGTTTTTACCATTTTATTCAAAATTTCGTTTATCTAACCTTAAAACCCTCGAGTACACCAACAAGTCGATAAAAATCTACAAAACCTGAAAAGGTTAGAAAAAAAGGATTTTTCAAGAAAACTCATATCCCCTGGAGTAAAAAATAAGAAGGATGCAGCGATTGGAAAAAATCCGTGTTCTATGGTTTTATCTGTCGTATGAAGAATGAAGATGTATTCCTGAGTTTGGTTGATTGGTGGATTTTTCCAGGATTTCAAGAAGCATCTCATCACATTGATCCCGCACCTCGGTGAAGCTGATGTTATGACTAGACAGCAGCCGCATCTGGGTCAACTGCTGAATATGCTGCTGAATCTGTAATCAATTGATCAATTATTTGCATTTTATTATCAGGTCTAATCAATTGATCAATTATTTGTTTCATTGAGCAATTTCACTTTAAGATCAATTAACTTAGGAGATAATATGACCCTTTAATCCATCTATAGTTGATCAATTAACCAATCATAATTCAATGAATCAAAGACTATATTATTCGTTCAGTAGAAGGATGAAGCTAGATACTAACTAAAATGAACTTGATAAGTCATTCATCAACAATTAACACTATTGAGTAAAATCTTTATTAAAAAATAAAGCAAGAAAATAATATCAAATCAGATCCAATACTGATACAAGTTTATTATACGAGCAATCGGCAAGAAGCCCAATTTGGGGCAACCATGACCAATTAAAGAAGTATCCAATTTATCCGATAAGATCAATCCTTAAAGACGATTTCACCTTCCATCCCAACATTTTATTTTTTCCAATTTTTAATTTTGGACAAAACGTCAGTACTGACAGTTTTCTACCTGTAGCTGCAGTCTAGTGAGCTGCTCATCATTGAATGCGTTAATCTCTTCAGGTTTAGGTTCAACCTTGGGAGCAGCAGCAGCAGAAGCTGAAGATGCTGCAGGAGCAACGGAAGGATGAGGAGGGAGTAGGTCGGGACCAGGGGTATGGGGCTCCATAAAGCTAGGAGGGACCGGGGTTTGTAGTGTCCGAGTTGGACGTTTCTTCTTAACCTTCGTCTTCTTTTTGCTCTCAGAACGATCAACCTCCTACAATACAGTCAATTTTAAATATAAAACTAAAATATCTTAGTTTTTCTTAAAAAAAAAGGTTTAAATTCATTAGAAAAGGTTATTAGTTAGGATGGTTTTAAGATTAAATGTGAGGTTTTGTGTTAATTAAAACATTGACTATCTATATACATAAAGTTGTAATCCCTGTTTGTTAGTTTGTATATCCAATCATAACTCAGCAAGCCCCGGACCGATTTTCCTCAACTTTTGATTAGGGAACTTGGTAAATCGTAATTTACGACCAAGTGCGGGTAAACTGCGGGGGTAACTATAAGAACCCTGGGCAACGCCGGGTTCTCATTCTCAAGCTAGTAAAATATAAAACTAATTTAACCCGTAGTATATATTATTTATATATTATTTACACAAGGAGGGGGAGTCTATTTCTGAAAATTAGACCTGGTTTGCTTGAGTAGCACAGTCTAGGAGCTCCGCCATTAGATCGGCCAACTCCTTTCTAGAGATCTATACGCAACCATTAGTAGTGAATCAATCAATCAAAAACAGAAACAACCAATCAATCAGTTATATAATTATATGTTTTTATAACCGTTTAGCATCAATTCATCGATCAAATAAATTAGCCTGATTATCGAATCATAAAACTTAGAAACAATCGACAAATTACAATGATGAATCAATCAATAGACAAATAAATATAAACTTTTATTTATTATCTGCGCTTAAATCAATCAAATTATTTTTCCATCATATAAATGATCGGCCACTCATCTTTCTTATCATGAATTATGTCAACTACTAAAGATTCCTTGGTTGCTCTATCGTCCCTCAGCTCCTCTGGATCTTTCAGACGAATATCTTCTTCGTCCGGAGGGAAACTATACTCTGGGTCGTCTTCGTCCAGTCCACAGCCATCCAGAGCACTGTAAAAAAGGGAAAAAAAATATGAATTTGTTTAAATCATCCCAGCCAGCCTAAACCTGTTGCATAAAACACTCTAACCATCCCATCCCATCCCATCCCATCCCATCCCATCCCATCCCATCCCATCCAATATACTGATATCTTTGAGCTGGAACGAGTAGATATGTAAATAGTAGAATTACACTAGACCGGTAAATCCTAGTACTTTCTTTGGATTCTGCAACGATAGAAACCTTTCCACTTTAATAAGATATCCGATGTTTTAAATTAAACCCTTATTTCTTCCACTTAATAATTAGATTTAAATGTGACATTTCTTTAAAAAAACGCACTTATTAATATTCATTCCACATATGTTTTGTTGTTTCCCTAAAGTCATAATGAATCCTAAAACATTATTTCTGATAAGAGGGGATCAAATTATTGTGTTATTGTTGTTAACAAATGGAAGCACAATGTCAGCTCAACAGCAAAAATTAATAATAATTGTATCATTAAAGAGACTGTAAAGAAAATGTCTCCATCGGTGGAAAGGCATGTCCAAATCACAACGATAAAGCTTTGGCTGATCCTTGATTAGTTATGACTGTAATGAATATTGTGCAACTCTATATCTGTAAACCTTAACTACGTTGTACAGTATTAATTATCTACGTTTGTAAATAGCTACGTAAAACCCATATCATGATTTATTTTAACTGCGCACTGCGCTGTAAATAACTATGTAAAATGATTATCTTAACTACGCTGTATATAACTATGTAAAACCTGTAGCTTAACTACGCTGTATATAACTATGTAACATGATTATCTTAATTACGCTGTTTATAACTATGTAAAACTTGTAGCCTAAGTACGCTGTATATATTTTACTGGATTACTGGATTACTGGAAATTTGTTCGCTGGGAGATCACTTTTGTGACATTTTCAGCGAGTCAATATATCTTTTTTGTTTCCACTGATAGTGCATTAAGTTAAACCAGGGATCTCGGCGCCCCTGGCACCTTCACCAGGGATCTCGGCGCCCCCGACACCTATCACATTGAAGAAATATGTTTGTCATACATATTCTTAAAACTAATCAATGAGGTAGCATTTTTAATGTCTATGGCAAGCTGTTCCATCTTTTAATAACTCTCAAGCTAAAGAAGTTTTTCCTAATATCTAGGTAACACTGTTTTGAGTTGAGGTTCATATTGCATGTAGTATTAACTACGTAAAACCTGCAGCTTAATTATGTTTGTATATAACGACGTAAAACTTGTAATTAAGTTGATTAACTTAACTTGTAACATAGATCCCGAAATACATTCAGTTGGAATAATACTCTGCTTTGATTGTGGTGTGAGAGTAAATGTTTCTTGGTTAGCGAGCGAGAACCTTATTAAATCACTTTCTTGAAAGATAGAAATAGATTGTTAAAACAGACTGAGTTGTATCCGGATTGATATTGACTTTGGTATTCGTGGAACCTTGAGTTAATGATTGAAATGTATCTTGTAAGACAGATAGATACCTGTTATTACAGACTGAGTCGTATCCGGATTGATATTGACTTTGGTATTCATGGAACCGTGAGTTCCTGTTTGAGTTGTATCTTATAAGACAGATACCTGATAATACAGACTGAGTCGTATCCGGATTGATACTAACCAAGGTGTTATCGGAGAACCTGGAGTTCGAGATTAAGTTGTACCTGGAGTGGTACTGATTTAAAAGTATTTATTGGAGTAGGGAATTTACTACATGACTAGGATGTCAATGTTGTTGTTTTTTTTAACTATTATTCTCAGTCATAGTTTTAAAAATAAGAAATTCACCAGGAACCCTCTGACTCTTGATTAAAGTATACCTTTGTTTACTATTGGAGCCAGAGTACATAGTTTTCAAGAACTCTGAGTAGTCGTCGTTATCGCAGGGTATATCGTACATGTCCGGGGTGATATCGAAGGGAATATACTGCTGCTCTAGCTCCTCAATATTCATCTCCGTCATAGAGCGCCGAGATCTGGTTTCATATCCTGTAATTCATTTCATTATATTTCAAGGGTTACAAAACTTACTTTCCGGTTTTAAACAGAAGTACATGCATCAAGTCAAATAAATGATTAAAAATGTCCAATAGCTCAGAATCAGAATCAGAATCAGAATCAGAATCAGAATCAGAATCAGAATAAAAAGTCCCCTCTCCCTAATCTACCGGTCTTGAACACTTAATGGTTTGTTTTTGAGTTTTTACATGCCGATTAAAATTAATTATTTACCCTTACCCTCAGTCGTCTCATTGAGCTCAAACTGTAGATTTCTTGAGACAACACTGGTTCTAGGGGACCAGGTTGTATTAGAGCTTTTAGGGGTTCCTGCATACGGTTTTTTAAAGTCGGTCGGAGTCCCTAGCTCAGACCTAGGGGTGTTAACAGTACTCCTAAATAATATATTTTTTTATTTTATACAAATTTAAATAAGTATTTCTGGCCCAATAAAACGAAAGTTACTTTTTTAATGGTTTTTGTTTAAAGTGCGTATTTACAAAATAAATTTTTCAATTAAACACGATTCGTTATTCCATTATAAAAATCTTACACAGAAAGGTTTGTGCGAGGAGTCCCATATTCAGAATTTTCAGACATTAGAAAACTGTCTTCATCGTCGCTTATCCTAAATCAAATCAAATCAAATCAAATCAAATCAAATCAAATCAAATCAAATCAAATCATATCAAATCAAATCAAATCAAATCAAATCAAACCAAACCAAACCAAACCAAATCAAATCAAATCAAATCAAATCAAATCAAATCAAATCAAACCAAACCAAACCAAACCAAACCAAACCAAACCAAACCAATCAAATCAAATCAAATCAAATCAAATCAAATCAAATCAAATCAAATCAAATCAAATCAAATCAAATCAAATCAAATCAAATCAAATCAAATCAAATCAAACCAAACCAAACCAAACCAAACCAAACCAAACCAAATCAAATCAAATCAAATCAAATCAAATCAAATCAAATCAAATCAAATCAAATCAAATCAAATCAAATCAAATCAAATCAAATCAAATCAAATCGTCGAATCGAATCGAATCGAATCGAATCTAATCGAATCAATTCAATCAAATCAAATAAAATCAAAATCAAATTGATTGATCAGGAATATGTATCAATGAATCATCATAAATATGTATTAATGAGTGCTCATGAATATGGTGTAATAATTGATCAAGAATATTATAAAATAGATCAAGATCAGAAAATGATGTACAATAATTGGTCATGAATTGATTGTTAAATATGATATATGCAATTATTGATCATGAATTTGAATATGATGTAATAATTAAACAAGAAAATAATGTAATAATTGATCATGAATACAGAATATGTCGTTTTAGTAATAATTGATCATTATTATATACTAATAATTGATCGTAAATATGGTGTAATGATTGTTCACCTGGGTTCTAGATCAGGAGTATATTCAGGATCATCATTCTCGTCGTCAGGGAACTCTTCAGTCACAAGCGAGATAATCTCAGGAGCAGACTCCTGAAACGGAATGGTCATTAAACCAGTAATTTAAACACGACTCAATAAGAACCCCCGCCCCCCCCCCCCCAAAAAAAAATCTTCGACTCACAGGATTCGGAATAGAAAAAATATTGGTATCTTCATCGAAAACCAAAGTTTCAGAATCCAATCAACGAAGAAAAGATAACATTTTGAAGTTCTTATACATAAAAAAATTATGAGCTAGAGCCAAGTCTTTCGTCTATACTATTTAAACTTATCGAAGATCTAGAATCTGATCCTAACCACTGAATTAAAGTACGCAAAACAACTTCAGATAACGAAATGATTGATACGAAATAAAAATAAAAATAGTAAATAATTCTATAAGACACGATCAGGCTGCAAAAACCGCTTTAAACGAAGGGAAAATGGATCCCGTTTAAGCTCTCTGGTTGATATTTATGATGAAGGAAGACACAGGAAGAACTATAAATAATAGATTACCTTCAAAGGTGTGACAGGGTTTAGAATCCAGGGACACGGATCTCCAGCCTTTAATAATATTTTGATTTCACATTTTACAACGAGGATATGATATATTGCATGATCAACAAAATAAGTTGTGAAAATTAAAAATGCAGCAAAATGAGTAAAGAATTAATATAATAGTCGCCCTTCACTTTTTCCGAAATGTGCAGAATGTCGCACATCTTGATCTTTAAACCTAACATTAAAAATTATTCTGACAGGAATTCCCAAAATATGGAAAAAAGTGATAAAACAATTTCATTTTTACTTCACATATTAAGCGGTGCTAAATAAAAGAAAATTAAATTGATTAGAGCTGGGAACTTTTGTATTGTGAATCGGTATCAATACTTGATCTCGATCTTTTGTTAAAATACAGATTAAATTAATCTTATTCTTTATTCAATAAATAAAATAACTGAATGAAAAGACAATATTCTTCAAATTAAAAGTGTCCAAAATGAATATAGAGATTATGAGTATCAAACACAAAATCTCCCAGGTTTGATTGTATTTATTACCTGGGTCAAAGTTCTAACAATAGATCTCGTCATCTTTGGTTCAGCCGCTTCAATATTCTCCTCCTAAATCATGCCAAGTTTGTATTTTACCTTCACAACCCAAAACTAATTTAACTGCGGAATTTATCTGTACATGTTTTCATTTATTTCAACAATGGAACGACCTTCCAAAAGAAATAAAAAATGCCAATTCGGTTTGCTTCTTCTAAAGCCAATACACACAGTGGAAACTCCCAGCAGTCTGAGGATTAAAAAGAAGGAAACTGAATGAAAGAATGAATGTGTCAAACTGGAAGATCTGAAAGATGTATCTACGATGGGGCCCTTGATTCAAGACTTCAAGTAATGTCGTCTTTATGTTATGTCATCACTATTTAATGATTTCTGTATTTAATGTCCTCTCTTTGTAATGTCCTCTCTATTTAATGTCCTCTCTATTTAATGTCCTCTCTTTGTAATGTCCTCTCTTTGTAATGTCCTCTCTTTGTAATGTCCTCTCTTTGTAATGTCCTCTCTTTGTAATGTCCTCTCTTTGTAATGTCCTCTCTTTGCAATGTTCTCTCAAGTAATGGACCCTGTCTATGTGAAATCCAATATATGCTAAACGAGAAAGATCTAAAAAACACTTCAGCTATTTATTATTCAATCAACGAAATATCCGATCTCCAAATTATCTCAGTCATATCTTATAAATAATATGTTCCAAACTTTTCTAATTCTTCCGTATATGTATGTTTACCTCTTTAGTCGGAGAAGTAAGTAGACCTTGATCCCTGAGCATTGCTAGGAGTTGAGGACTGGAGAATATATGTTTCAACACCAGTTTAACCTTTGGAATTTAGCTATAGTAAAATAACAATGCAAAACGGTTCCCTTTAATCCTTTATTTTAGTGACAATAAAGGATCTAAAAGAACCAGACTTAAAAAATAATATTCCTGCGACTTTTAAATATTAAGTGCAAACATTAAAAAATCCCCCCACTAAAATCTCAAATATATCAATTATTGTAGCAGCTAATGTATAATTTTTCAGTTTCAGCAGTTGGCCAAAAACTATATACAACATTTTACCTGTTTTCTTGTCATATTATTCTTTTTAGCCTTTTTATCCAGACTTCGGTCCAAAGAGAGGAATTTTTTACATTCTCTGATAATATTCTCTGGGATGTTCCCGGCACCAACCACCTCCTCCTCTTCCTTCACAGTCTCTTCAACCTTGCCCTGGATTTACATTTTTATTTTCAGAACAAATGCATCGGAGGGAAAGGGGGGAGGTAGATTTCACTTTTTTTTAGTTTATGTATGGTTCAGGGGTAAATATGACCGAGGGTACGTTGGTAAATAAAAATCCCTGATTGCATTACCATCTCTACAATTAAAAAAAATTATGTTTACTGGGACTAGACTTAATGCATTGCGGAAAGTAGTTAAGGTTTCAAACGTTTCTCAGATCAACTTAATCTTTATAGTTCAGCTACTTCTCCTCTGGTGCTTTGTTATTTAATTTTAATAATATATGGATGGGTTTATGCTGAGCTAACGATTAAAATTGTTGAAAATAAATTTCCTTTTTCGTCGGAGGTTCGTCAATTGTCAGTTTATCCTGATCATCGTCGCTTTCCTGATCCTCCCAAGATCCGTCCGAGTCATCATCTTTCCCTGCAGGATTAGGAATCTTCCCACCAGGTTTCTTAGTTCCAGACCCCCCAGGTTGGGGTTGATCAAGTTCACCAGGAATTTGGCGCTCAACTGGTCCTAAGGATATCAGGAGTGCACGCTTCTTAGGTAGAGCAGATCCAGTTTGAGTTTTAGGTTCCTCTGCTTTGGAAACTCCAGAAGGAGCATCTGAAGTTTTGGGTTTACTGACCCCTGGAGATTTAGGTTTATTTTCTTCCATTCTTCTTTCTCCAATTAATTCGTATGGATCAGGTCGTTTGAAAACCCTTCATTTTTAAGTTTCTGAAAAGAAACGTTTAAAATAGATAAATTAATCATCTTCAAATATTTAGTTATTTTAAATAACGCTAGTTAGACTCTCTCCTCCTTGTTTAACAGACCTACTAGAATATCTTGAGACGGTACAAAATAACACAGATTTGGGTGATTCAGTCGATGTTATATACTTGGATTTTGCAAAAGCCTTTGACAAGGTGTCCCACAGAAAGCTTGCACAAGTACTAAAAGCTCATGGAATCAGAGGAAAAATATTGCAATGGATTATTTCCAGGCTAACAGATAGATCCAAAAGAGTCATTTACAACAGAAGATCATCAGGCTGGAAACCTGTTTGGTCCGGTGTTCCACAAGGGAGTGTCCTGGGTCCACTATGTTTTGTTATTTATATAATCACTATAGATCTAGTAATTGAGGATGCACTAACTTTCCTGTCAAAGTTTGCAGATGATTCCAAAGCTGAAAGAAAGGTTAACACTGATCATGACAGAGAGGCATTACAAAGTTCATTGAATGCTTTAACTCAGTGGGCACATGACTGGAAAATGCAGTTTAATGAATCTAAATGCAAGGTAGTACATATTGGAAAGAATAATTCAAGATATAAATATCTTATGAATAGAGTGGTACTGGAGGCGTCTGACAAAGAAAAAGATGTCGGAGTAATCATTCAAGAGGACCTGAAACTAACAAAACAGTGTGCTTCTGCTGCAGCTAAGGCTAACAGCATATTAGGCCAGATGGCCAGATCCTTTTCTTACAGAAACAAAACTGTATGGATATCTCTGAATAAAACTTATGTACGGCCCCACCTTGAATACTCTATACAAGCCTGGAATCCCTGGCGAATAAAGATAAAGAAATCCTGGAAAAAGTACAGAAAAGAGCTATTTCCATGACTTCTAGACTCTCCGGATCTACCTATGAAGAGAAACTGAGAGATGATTTAAGTCTTGAAAATCCTTCATGAACATGATCATGTGGATAAAAACAAATGGTTTAGCTCAGCCTATGAACCTGGTGAAAATGAAAGACAAACCAGAATGTCCAGTAATCCTTTGAATCTGAAGTTACCTGTTGTGCACACCGAAATACGAAAAAACTTTTTTAGTGCAGGAGTTATCAATATATGGAATGATGTTCCATCTGAAATCAAAAGGGCTGGAATCCTGAACATTTTCAAAAACCAGCTCGGTAACTGGCTGAATTCCTGAACGGCCAATGAAGTCGGAAAAGAGATGTTTTAAATATTCACACCCGTGATATATAAACATAATCACACCAATTAAACCAATTAAACCAATCCTTTTATTCATGCACGCAATTCAAACATGTGAAAACCAGGTAAATTTGACGTGTGACCGCAGCACACAGCTCTTTAACCTTTCCTACCCCGGTGCTCGTCCCTCAGCGGACACTAGCCTATCATAGACGCAGCTTTCGTTTCAGATGTTGTCTTAAGCTAACTTAGCCTGAGTTTAATAAAACCATTATTTATAGTTTCATAGTAAAATTAGTTGAAATTGATGCGAACGATTTCTGGAACCCCCTCCCCCACTATCAATTTTGTACTATGAACATGACCTAGATTTCAACTAATACAAACAATATTAATATTTAATTTCTTTATTTCAGGGTTAGGTTAGAACAATTTCTGGGCTAGGACAGACAAGGAAGCCGAACGCTGCGGCCCTCTTAACAAGTAATTAATGTGTATTAATTCAGGGTTAGGTTTTAAGCTAGGACAAATTCTGGGCCAAGCGCTGCGGCTAGGGGGCGGAAATAAATTTCATGTACATTTTCCGATGAAGGGGGCGGAGCAGGGGGTCCTATAGGGGTCTCTAGGATGGGGGGGGGGCGTCAAGTGGTAAATATAACAAACATAATTAAAGTTTAGCTGAAAATTGTCTCATAAGCATTTCCTATGATTGATTTAGTGCAGAATGGTAAGAGCTAACTGTACTAACTAAATTGCTTTAAAATAACCAATGGATTAATATTAAATCGCGATCTGCAATTCTGCAATTGCATTGCAAATATTATTACGGTTTTGATTGATTATCGTTTATTTCTTTATGCCTTGTTACTGGCATCTTAAATAAATTACGGTTTTCTAGCGGTTTTAATTACGTCGACAGATTGACATGCGCAGAATAAAAGTATTTGCCGCAATCGAGTTTGACTTTGTCCCAGATTTCTTTTTGTCGTCTTTGATATGGTAATAATACTGCAACTTGAAATGGTAATGTTGCATCGTCTATACGCAACATCCTCTATACTGAACTTCCGACCTACTAACTTTCTGACCTATTGCTATATCCGACCTACGACAGCTGTAGGTCGGTTACACATTTTATTTTTTTAATCCGACCTACAGGCATGATTGAGTTCTAGTCATGTGCATGGAGCGAGGTCAGATGTACATATCTATTTGTAGGTCGGATATACTCTTTTTGTAGGTCGGATCTGTACACTTTTTGTAGGTTGGATGTACTGTTTGTAGGTCGGATGTACACTGTTTGTAGGTCGGATATACTCTTTTTGTAGGTCGGATCTGTACACTTTTTGTAGGTTGGATGTACTGTTTGTAGGTNTTTTTTTTATCGATTTTGATGGTTATTATATCGTTAGAACTGACGAGGGTCAACCCAGACCGAAATATATTTTCAATAAATGTGGAACTAACATCTACTTTTTTACTCTACAGAGGTTTGGTCCATCACCATCACTGAATTTTAAAAATATTTTAATAGTTCAAATGAAAATAGTTCAAATGAACTTAAAAATAGTTCAAATGATCAATATATTTACTCGTTTGAACTATTGTTCATTTAAACTACTCACGTGGTCCCACGTGCAGTAGTTGAAATGAACAATAGTTCAAATGAACAATAGTTCAAACGGCAGTAGTCCAAAGGAGATAGCACCTACTGGTGAATCGCCTCGCTTTCTTTTCGTTTTTTTTTGTATTTTAACTTTGTAGTTTCTGCTTTTTCTAACTTTTAAGTTATAAATCGACATTTACTTTAAAGTCTAATGCTTTCCCTCCAGAAAGGTCTTATATTGAAAGCATTTTTTCGAACTTTATTGGTCAATTATAAATGCTCTTGTTAAACACCTCTCGTTAACATTTCAAAAACGAAATAATACTGGTTACTTACTGCAGTGAATCGCCTCATTTTTTTCGTTTTTTGTTTTTTTTGTATTTTTTCTGATCACCTTCATAGTTTCTGCTTTTTCCTAGTTATTGTAAATCGACCTGTATTTCAAAGTCTAATGCTTTCCCTCCAGAAAGTATTCGAAAAGTTAAAATACACTTTTTGTCCCTGTATACGATCTCTATTTGGTCGCGAGATGTAACGAATGTAACATTACCGAAATATCGTGTGCACTTGACTTTTGATTGATCGGACTAACGTTCGTACGAACGTTCATTCGGGCTTTAAAGTTCATTCGCACTATGAGATTAATGATCTACATGTAATTGTTCAATCAAACTAAACTCCGCGTGGGCCGAGCGCTGCGGCTGGGTGCAGGGGAGGGGCCAAAATTGGAGCTTTAAAACCAAGTGCCAGTAAGTCGGATGTGTAGTACAGCGGATTTTGCGTCAGTCAAAAGTGAAGTATAGCGGATTTGCTTAGGTCGAAAGATACACAATCTCTCTCTTCTTATAATTCATTGCGGCATTCGCGACTAACTGAGTTTGTCCGCTACCTCCTCTAGCAGACAGCAGACTAGAAGAGAGCGAGCTTGACAGTTTAGTGAAACGTACTTTTCAGTGGAGCACTGTTAAATATTTCATAAAACACTGCGAAAATGTTAAAAAATTAATATTATGCAAATTCATCCAAGCATACAAGTATCAGTGAAAAGTTTTAGTTCGTTTATTTTTCCAATTAAATTGATTATTCCGCCATTGCGTAATTTACCACATGGGCCAAATTGTGCAATATCAGTCGTAAGCTATTTGGTAAAGGAAATAAGGTATATTCCTAGAGAACGATTTTTGGACCCCCCCGGAGCCTCCCCCCCTCCTATCAATTTTGTACATGGGTCTGACAAGAAGTTTCTTAACTTAACCTAACCCGTGGCCGCAGCGCTCGGCCCCCTGTTACTGTTACTGTTACTGTTACTGTTAATGTTACTGTTACTGTTACTGTTAC